AAATATGTATATATAAAATATTATATATTTTATGTATTTATATATTTTATATTTAATATATATATTTATATTATTTTATATAATATATATTCTATATATAGTGTGTGTATATATAGCATGTGTGCATATATATACAAGAGGTTCTGAAAATCTGAATGAAAATACCACAGGCAGCAAAATAACTTTTAAGCATGAATAGGGATGCTGTGGCCCAGGCTGGGGGTTTGCCGAGGCCTCTCGGCTCCGGCGCCGCCCCATTCCCCCCCGGCGGGATCCCGCCGTGCTGGAGCAAAGCGGATCTTGCTGTGGGCTCGGCTCGCGTGGCTCCCCGGAGCAGCTGCAGGGCCTTGCTGCATGTCCTGGGACTTTAACCTTTGCTTGGGCTGCCGCAGCGCGGGGAGCGCGGAGCGTGCGGGCCGCGGCGAGGGACCGCGTTCAACAGGTCTGTTACTGGGGCGCAGGGCTTGGTGCGCGCGGGAGCTCTCAAAGCACTGCTGCAGCAGTGGCAAAAACAAAACAGAAACTTATTTTGATGTAGCAGGAAGCAACGCAGATTTAATTGTTGTCTGCCAAGAACATAGGAAACTAGAAAGCTGATTTTAAAAGCTTTAGAGAATTGTTCTCACCAATATAAATGGTTGAATACCTTGCATTTTTTCAGGCAATAATCATACTTTCTTGCTCTTCAGAAGCAGAAGAGAAGCTAACTGTATCCCATGCTTCTAGATGTCTGAAATCTCCTTCTCGGCCCTACTAGGGCCTGACTTGCTCAGCTCTCCTGGGACGTAAGCCAACAGCCACCACACACCTCCAGGCACTTTTTGATCTCTGGATGCCTTTCCTTTGCTCCCTTGCTAACCTTGTTTTATGCTTTCTTCCAAATTTCTCTCAATGCCCCTCTGCTCTATACAATTTACTTGCTAATATTGTGGTTAGGAGATTTCAGGTGGGTTGAATTGTGGTTGCTTGGCAGACTTGCCCACATGCAGGGTTGGGAGAAGTTAAGATGTTGGCAGATGTCAGTATTTCCTTTAAAAGGGCATTTAGCCACCACTTAACCACACGGGCAGATGGAAGTAAGGTAGGAACACGAGGAAGGTGGATAAAGTATTTATTTTGGTGCCGTAAGGAATTTATGTAATGGGAATAACGGAAGGGTGTGGGTGTGTTTTAATGGGTTACCAGATTTGGATTCCTTAGCAGCCAGACGAGCATCCAGTGGCCCCCGTTGGACAGTGGGGCTTGTTTTGACGCTTGTCAGAAGCTTGGAAGGCCACGTACTGTTAGCTGTGAATGCATCCAGCTGTGCCAGTGCTGCAAAAGGAGTGATCCTTGCTAAGGCCAGATGCCTGTGAGAGCTCTCAGTCGGATGCAGGGCGGATGGAGCTGAGTGTGCGGGACACGCTTGTGGATTTTCTTTTACGAGGCACTTCCTGACCCTGCAGCAGCTACCTCTGCGTGTGGCCTGGCGCCTGCCGATGCTCAGCCGGACCCGGAGCTCAGCACAGTGGCGATGCCGGACAGTGTCCGACCCCGGTCCCCCGGACAGGCCGCTCCTCATCGCGGCTCCGTGCTGGTGAGGACCCGTTTGCTCTCGCCGTCCCTGCCGGGCTCTGCTCCTGGCTCCTCTGCCACTGTGGAGCAGCCGGCCTTGTTGCCCCTCGTGCTCCTGCCTCCTCCTGCTTAACTGGTGAGAAATTGCTGCAGCTTTTTGCTTTTCAGAGTGAACTCTGGCTTGACTTTGCAGGAAAAATAGCAGTTAGCAGTGTTTTTTTTTTTTTTTTTTTTTTTTCCCCAGTCCGTGCCTTCCTAGAGTGCTAATAAACAAAACTGCCTTCCCTTCCCACATGTCCCCTCCCAAAACAGATGTTTGCTCTTCTTCCTTGTCCGTGACATTTGAGTGACTATGGCCAAAGCAGGAAAATGCTGAGGAAGAAGGTGTCATTTTTGCCCTTTAAAAGTTAATGTTTGTTCTACTGGCCCAGCTGTTCAGGGAACTACATGTGCTGGGAAAATGAAGTAATGAGTTCAGATCTGTGCATCACCTTTCGGTGGGGGCATTCCGGTGACTCATGGGGTTTTCTCACTGTTCTCGTGTCTGAGGAAGGAGTAGGTGCTCATACCTTGTGCCGAGGATGCCCGTCTCGGCACGGCAGCGCTGACGCCGCGCGGTGTCATCCGGAGCCAGCTCTCCCAAGGGAGCTCAGGCTTCCTCGAGGCGGGAGTTGCTGAGACGTTGGCACGAACGCAAGGGGCTTCCCGGCGTCTCTGGTTGGGCCTTTCCTGCTGCTGGGTGACGAGCGTCGCCTCCAGTGCCCGTACCCGATCCAGCCCAGCCCAGGGAGTCTCCAGCCCAGAGCACGGGTGTATCGTGCTGTCCCAAAAAATGTTGGCGCTGCTTTTTAAGTTATGCTAGAGGTGGTTTTCTGGAGCAAAAGTGTGCTCACCTGTGTGCTTTACGGACAACATTTGCATATATAGGTAGTCGTATAATATTATTGTAAGTAACTTAGAGCGAACGGAGAGGTGCTTCATTGTCATCCAGAAATGTCTTTGGATGTTGATTCTCCCTTTGCTAATGGCTTTACTTGGTTGAAAATGAAGTGATTGTGTCGTCCTGCCTCCTGCCCGAGGCCTCACTTGGTGCAATTGCTTTGTCACCACGGGCCTCTGGCTTGATGGGGCCTGAGCGTAGCTGTTTCCTAGCATTTGGCAAAAATAATTGATTAATAAGTAGGATCAAAGTGGTGCTTAAGCAGCTAGGAAGCCCTTAACGTTTTGCAGTGGAGCACCTATCAAGGGGGTAGCTTGAGCCTGCGACAAAATGCTGTTTTGAAAGGGCCTGTGCCAGTGGTTTCCCATCCTTGTGGAAGTGCAATAGAAACGTGATTTTGGGAACTTCTCTTCAGGCTGCATCCTGGCAGTGTCCCCGCAGAGCTGTGTGGGATCCCGAGGGCTCTGTCCTCGAGTGCTTGCTGGCCTCCTGCCTGCGAAGCCCAGCTCCGATGCTCGGGTTTTGGGTGGGTGCAAGGGGTGCTTGTTCCCTCCGGGCCCTCGGCCGTGGCCCGCAGCACAGGCCCAGCCGCTGCCGCGCGCTTCTTGGCTCCCGTCCTGCAGAGCGGCTGTTCCTCCGGCGTTTCCCACCTTGCGGTGGGAAAGAGCAGGAGGTGCCCACATGCAGTCTATGAGTCTATGTGGCCTTTTTGCAGTTCACTTTCTCCTCCAGCTGGAATTCTGTGGCGTTGCGAGGTGAAGCTAGATGCTCGCGGACGGAGCGCAGCTGCTGGCGTGGCTCTGGGCACTGCTGGGCATTGCCTCGCTGCCTGCCGGGGAGTGCTAAACAAGTCCCAGCCTGCGTTGTGTCGCGTCGAGTTTGGATGTTCAGTATTTTAGAGTCTGCTGTAAGCCATCTCTCTGCTGTCCTCCAGACAGGGTTTTACACGTTAGATTTGTATTTTGAGGTTATCGGTATTTTTCAGTTTTAATTGTTTGAATAAGTAGAAGGCAGGCGGGTGGCTGGCACAGAGGGCCCTGGGCGCGGCTGCCCAGGGAGCTCCGCACATGCCGAGGCGGCGCCTCTCCTGTGGGGCAGCCCATATAGTCCCTCCCGTTGGGCAGATGAGGCTCAGGAAGCCCTTGCCCTTCCTGTGCGTGCGGAGATAGGTATTGAGAAACTCCTGGGTTTTGCATAAGGATTCCTCAGTTTCTCCCAGCACCAGAGCTTGTTCTCCAAGCCTAGCGCAGAGCTGAAGGGAGGGCTCGTGCAGGGGAGTCCTCCTCTGTCTCTGCTTTCAGCAGCTTTTGGTTACTTGGTAGATACGGAGCCCTTTCAGGAGCTACCTGGTAAGTAGGGTAGTAACCTACTCTTGGGGTTTGTAGCCTAGTGCAGGTGGAGCCGCTTGGGGTGCAGAGTACACAACATTGCTGTGTGTGAGCAGCCCCTGCGACGCTCCTGGCCTTGGAGCCTCGCGGGGGCAGCTGGGGACCCGGAGCCACCGTGAGCAGCAACCCAGGAGCTCTCGAGTTGGGGATGCTCACTTTGAAAAGACAAAAGCTCAGCAGCTCACATCTGATATGGATGTAATCTTGCGGGCTGTAAGTTATTAAACTCTTTAGCCAAATAGTTAATGTGTTAACAAATTGTGCTCACTCATGGTGTAGTGTTTGCTCTTGTACTGTGCAAGTGAAACCATTTTGCTTCAGGACGAAGCTTGAAGATGGTAACAGAAGTGAGTGCAATGGACTGTCTCATCTCCCCTCGCACGCTGGTCCCGCTGGAGCTCTTGCACTACTGGGACTTCAGCCTCTTGAAAGCTCCGAGCACATCGCTGAGGAAGACCCTAACGTCACAAGCGATGGCGAGGTGCCGTGTGAGCCGTGAGAGTCGGCTCTCCGCAGAGTCGGGACATCTTTCCTCCTGCAGTGCTTCAGCCTGTGGAGCTGAAGTTCTGTTATATAAAACTCAGATTGTTTTAGTGAAATGAAGGTTTTATATTTTTTTAAATGCAGAATTGATTAACTTTGGAATAAATGTTTAAAAATGTTGCTTGTTTGGGGTTGTCACCTGTCAGTTTGAGGAGTTTCTCAACCTGAACATGGCAGTTATTGGGACACTGTCTGTAATCTTTCAGATATGTTTAAAGGACTTATTCCACATGTGACCCTTCCTAAAAGGATTTGACTTTAATGATTAAAGTGTGCATTTTTCTACTAGCCTCCCAGCTGAGAGACTGAAGGTGCTGGCGTGCCTGACCCAGCTGCAGCAGCAGCACGCGGACATCATGAAGGTAATGGTTATGTGTTAATTTACTTGAGGGAAAGGCTAGACACTGGGTGTATCCTTAGCATTCTGCACTTCTGTTAGTACCCTCTCAGTTAAAGGACTTTGAATAGAGAGACTGCCAAAAGAATCTCATTTTCTTCAGTATTTTGCCAAGTTATGTTTATCCTGAAATGATTTTATCTTTTGTTTTTATGCAGTGATTAAATATGTTTATGTTTATCTTCTTTAATGAGTCGCTGTAGTTACTAAGATTTTTTTTTTTTCAAAATGTGTGCTTGGAGGTAGGTGGTCTAGCAGTACTTCACTTTCCAGCTGTGGTTATCTTGGGTTTTATCTTTTATTTTACAAAAGAAAAAAAAAGAAAAAAGAAAAGGCTGGCATCATAATTTCTACTCTGCAAATTTTGCCTTGATTTTCTTAAAAAATGCAAGCGCTGAGAAACTCAGCAATTATTAGGTATCTCAGACGTGTTGTGATAGCCTGCTTGCTCTAATGGAAATGGTAGATGTTGCCATTAAAGTATCAGAATTAAACAGACACAGATGTATCTTTGGAGGTCTGTACAGATTCCTCCTCCTCTGAAATGCCAAGCTGTATCTTTTTAGATGCCACACTCTAGTGGTTCTCAAAGACAAGGCATTATCTAGGGCAGACTGGATGCGGCCAGTCTGTAGGAGAAGAGAAAAAAGACCCTTTCTCCAAATAACCGCCCCTCACAGACATGCTTTATCTTGGCGCTGCTTCTCTGAAAAGTCACCTTTCACACGCTGGTTTGGTCGTTGTTTGACTCTCCTGTAGGTTTTTAACGATCCGATCCACGGGCACATTGAAATCCACCCTCTTCTCGTGCGCATCATTGACACTCCGCAGTTCCAGCGCCTCCGATACATCAAGCAGCTGGGTGGCACCTACTTTGTGTTTCCAGGAGCCTCTCACAACCGCTTTGAGCACTCCTTGGGGTAAGGGGGTGTCCTGCCACGTGCATGTCTCTTGCATTTTCATTTTCATGAGATGGATTCTCCTGTGTGAAGACAGCTCTGCGGTGTGTTCTGTCCTGTGAATGTTCCTCTCTGTCCTGTGTAACTGAGTGTTGGCTGTTCTTAGAGCTCTTTGATAGAGCAAAACCATGAAGTCTGCAGGTTGGATCACTGTTAGATTTCTTCTCCCACCTTCTTCTCTTTTTGCGAGGAATGATGTTAATCAGAGGCTGTGAATGCTCTATGCTCTTCCTGCTCTAAACTGAGATGCCAAGTTTGCCATAAATTACTTCTTGGACAGTTGTTTTAACCTGCGTACATATATTACCCTGTAGACATGAAACAGATTTTGGCTGTAATGTTTACATTTGTGCTTATGTTTGTCTTATGCAATACACTAGAGTTCATAGTCCGACTATTTGTCATCTAAGCTAAACAGAAACAGATTGTGGATATTGGGATTTCCAAAGGTTTTCTTTAAAAAGGCATCGTCACTTAAATCGTTCATGATCAGCAGAGGAGCTGAGTAAGCCACAGTTTATACCTTTTTTTAAAAGGTGTGTTCCTGTGTGCAGAGAAATTCTCCTAGTCAATTTTAGAATAGGAGTGGAATTTACATCCTCATACAGGTCAGGGTGTGAATTAGTTGTGTGCCACCTGTTAAACCAGGGCTGTGACTTCAATTGGCAAAAAAGAATTGGTGAATTACTCACTCTCTCCTCAGCCTGTGATACAATTGCCTGAACTCGTTGTTTTTCGCTGCAACAGGGTAGGCCACCTAGCAGGGTGTCTGGTTCGTGCACTGAAGGAAAGACAGCCAGAACTGGATATAACCCAACGAGACATCCTCTGTGTTCAAATTGCTGGCCTTTGCCACGATTTGGGTAAGCCATGCTTGTTCTCTTGCTGTCCTTTGAAAAGATGGCCCTGAGTTCAGAATGTAAGATGTGTTTCTGGCTGCTCAATGCATGGCCATGCTCTGCCACAGGATTTGCCTACTTCTGCTTAGTCTGGAGCTGCTCTCTATATAGGCAAGTGCACTCGGTAAATCTGCGGGCCACTTAGCTGCTCTTTCATGTCCTTCCTTTGTGGTGCTTTGACTTCTTCTCTCTGGCTAAAATGTCATCATCTTTCTACAGTACCTTCAGCCCTCTTAAAACCTCCGGTAACATCTATGAGAAGTCAGTGGCCGCTTCAGCACTTTCCATGATGATTTTGTAAAACTGACTGTCTCTTTCTGAGCTGGCATTGTGTAATCAATGTACCTCATGCTAGCAGAGCGTTTGCTCGTGGCGTAGGTAATGGAACTCTGTATTCCGAGTGAGGTACTGGTTAGGATGTTGCATGAGTGAAGTGTGCTGGCTGGAGCTGGATCTTGCTAGCTGGTAGCGTAAGCCAGGTGCTTAACTTGCTCCAAGTAGCTTTCCTGATGAGCATGTCTTGGATTAAACCTATATAATCTTTATTTTTAAGGCCATGGCCCGTTTTCACATATGTTTGATGGAAGATTTATTCCACTCGTTCGCCCAGATTTGAAGTGGAAGGTAGGCATTTCGCTTTTCAGATATAAAGAGAATTCTTATTTTTATTTATTTATATTTTTAAGGGGAGAATAATTCATACTGTGAGCACATCATGATCATCTAGTCTTTTCTTACTGCCTCATTTTGATGTAATTAAACAAAGTTGTTTCCTAATCCTGTGGAGATTTCCCTGTTGTTGAATGGGAATGTTCATTTCCAAGTTATTTGGGGGATTCCAACGTGCTCCTTAGTGTTGGCAGATGTAGCCTTTCTGGGAAGCAGAAGTGGGGTGCAGTTAAGCAGGACATACATTTGTCATCAGTATCTCCTTCTTGAACGTGAAAATGCTCTTTGAACTCCCTGCATCATGTATTGAGACCTTCTATTTGGGTCAGCGTGTCCTGTTTCTGCAAACATCTCACTGAGCGACATAGAAAAGAAACAAAAAACCTCAGGTTTAACAGTGCCACTGGCACAGTTTTGAAAGGGCAGAATTCATTAGGCAAAATGCATTGACCTTTTTAAACCAGCACCACAGTTTAATACATTAGTAGCTTTGCTCAGAATATGTTTTACAGATGCAAAATATCATTCTGTAACTTTTTTGGTTTCAATTTGGAGATTTCAATTTAAAGTCCAGATACCTAATGCAGTGACTAGAATGCAAACATTTGGACTATCAAGGGTTGTTTGCTTTGAACAGAATCCCTTCCAGACCTCTGCGAGCAAGTTAATTCTAAACAAAATCAGCTGAGTAAACTTATTAATCTACCACATGGCAAAGTTGGTTGTCTTTTAAATATATTTTTAATAAACAAAAGAGTTAAAAATTTTTACAGCTCTATGGTGAAAATTTCTGGCTTTGGAGACTGTGGACAGGGTGTTAGTTCTATTGGGGTAGATGCAAAATGAACAATCAGGCAAGTGCTACACTTTGATGTGTCCGGGCACGTGTGCTATGGCAGGCAGTGCCACTCGGTGCTTTTGGGGAGGAAGTTTTTGACTCTTTAGCAAAGAGTTGATGAAGAAGGAACTTTGTAAAACAGCATTAGCATGTTTTTAACAGCATGAAAGTGCCTCTGTTGAGATGTTTGAACACCTCATCACTTCCAACAAACTAGAAAAAGTAATGGAATATTACGGTCTTGTCCTGGAAGAAGATATGAACTTTATCAAGGAACAAATAGGAGGGCCTATAGATGAAAACACTCGTGAGAAATCGGTGAGTCAGTGTACTACTTTTGTGGATATTCCTATAAATGCCTTAGATTTTACTGAAGAGGATTTTTCTTTCTTTCTTTTATTGGTGGGATACCCTCAAGAGGTGTAGTGCTTTTTCTTAGTGAAGCTACTCTAAGTTATGCACTCGCATCGTCCTCTGAATCTCTTGCCTCACAATCTTAAGATTAGTCTTTAAAAAAATGCTATTTGTAGTAAGCTTATGTTACTGTAACTAGATTGGTGAAACTGAATTCTTAATAGGTATCTTAGATGACCAGATAAGGGGAAATCAAACCTGTTTACTGAAGGGCTGAAGGTGGTGCTGATGGTAGATCTTGCGAAGACAAGCTGGGCACAGTTTAGAGTAACGAGCTGAGAATTAATTAAGAGACTGAGATGAGGCAGGGAGCAGTGCAGAGCATCGGCCAAGCTCCCGGGCAGGAGCGGGGCCGGGGCAGGAGCAGGGCCCCACCAGCTTTGGAGGTGGTAACAAAACATCTGGCTTTATTGCAGTAGGAAACACAGAGGGAGGATAAGAGCTGAAGAGATGTGTTGACTCGAGGTGGTGGAGAAGAGATCCTAATTAATTCTCTATGAAACAATTCAAAGTCCTCTCTCTTCTCACTTTCTAGCTGTTGTCATCTCTTCAAGAACACCCATTCAGTTCCTACCAAGTTAAAGGCCTCCTCAATGGGAGGCCTCTGTCATGATAATCTGGTCCTAATCAGAGTTTGCTGTTGTTCTGAAGATTAGCACAGTGGCACCAGCGTGTCAGTCCTTGCTTTCTGCTGCGGTAGTGTTGTGCTCCTGTGTGCTTTGCGAGCCTGATAGAACAGAGGGAGGTTAGCACAACACTAAGGCAGTTTGAGGTCTTGTGGAAGAGGATGTTTATTTACAAAGTCCCTGTGTTGATGTCCCTGTCCTATGCTCCTTCGCTCCCGTTCACTCACACTTGCTGCTTCAGCGCTGGACACGTGTGCCCAGGTAGTCTGGGTGTGTTGGACCCAGGGGGCTGTTGAGTCCTGGTTATGTCCCTGGGGCTGCTCCTGCCTGGAGACAACGAACCAGACTCTGCACACCTCAGGTAGCCTAAGGTGCTCCTTCACCTCCGAACTGTGCTGCTGCCCCAGGCGATGGGCCAACTGGTTTCCCTTTATCCTGGGATAAAAGGAATGGTCCGCATGGTGCGTGGAGACTCTGGTGCCCTCCTCCCGGTGCTGGCCACCACATCTTCCCTCCCCTCGTTTGTGCTGTGGTTTCACCGGCGCGCAGGCTGCTCTGCTGCCGGGTCTGCGCCGGGATGTCACCAGGCCACAGGCGCCTGCCCACGGCGTAAAGGACTGGCTCTTCGTTTCCAAAGCTGGGAGATTTGTTGCTGTTCTGGGAACACCGAGCAGGAGCAGAGAGCTGTGTGAGCAGTGCAGGAGGCTCCTCAGAACAGAGACCCGGTGCCGGATTCCCAAGCTGCTTCACGGCAGCGTTGCGTGATGGAGGCGAGTTTACGTGTGTGGGAGGTTAATGGCTGTTGTGCAAGTTGTATTTTACAACAGTTTGGAAACTAATTTTCTGTGTGACTCATGGCTGATTTGGTCTTTGCTCGAGGGGTAGAAGTTTAAGCAGCTGGCTGTGCAGTTTCTGTTTCAAATAGTTTTAAAATAATTATTTTTATAGATTCTAGAAAGTTGTCTTATTAAACTTTAGTTCTGAATTTCTTGCACCCAGATAGCTTCAAAAGTGCGGCTCTTTTTGTTTTCTTTGGTAATTCGGTGTTGGTTGTCTATCATTGGCAAAATCAAAATGTATTCCTGCTATCTTTTTTAAAAAAAGTTTTGATATTGTTTGTGGGTTTTAATTCATTATTGTTTCTGATTTTTCTTGACTCTCTTGCTATTAGTGGCCCTACATTGGTCGACCAAAGGAGAAAAGTTTCCTTTATGAGATAGTAGCGAACAAAAAAAATGGCATTGATGTTGACAAGTGGGATTATTTTGCAAGGTACAAACTTTATGGATTCTGTTTTTTATTAAATTCCTACTGTAGCACTGCTACTGTGTTTATCAGAAATATGATCTCATCGTTAAATACTCTGTGGAATGTTTTTAGGGATTGCCATCACCTAGGAATCCAGAACAATTTTGATTATAAACGGTTACTGAAATTCACGCGGGTCTGTGACGTGAACAGCCAGAAGCTCATCTGCACCCGGGACAAGGTGAGCGGCACGTGGGCCAGGGAGGCTCGGCGCCGCCTCGGAAGAGGAGGAAGCTGCTGCCGCCCTGCTAAATTCCGAATAATGCCTGTCCTGGTGCATGCTGCAAATGGAAGAAGTCAGTTCATTTGCTTCCTTGACAACTGAAATGTGAAAGGTAATTATTATTTTTTTTTCCTAGGAAGTTGGAAACTTGTACGATATGTTCCACACACGGAATTGCCTGCACCGGCGTGCGTACCAGCATAAGGTTGGCAACATCGTTGAAATAATGCAAGTATTATGCTTTCTTCTTATTGCATGGACTTTATTTGAAATTATTGATCCTGTGTATGCAGTTTGAATAATCACATAATCCATAAGCTGTAATATGCAATAAAAGCCACTGGGCTGTTCAGCTGGAGCTTTGTTGTGGCAACATTCAGCAGGGGAGTATTGTGGAGGCTGTAAATAATACAAGGGGCTGATAACATCATTCCACGTGAAAACCAAGTAGAGATAAGTTGCTAAAATCCTGAGGAAACACTTTGCCAGGATGTACTTATGCTGGTGTGATTGCTGACAATGGAAGTTTAAATTGCAGATAGAGATTGTCAGCTCAGTTCGATAGAGCAAGATTACTAGTAGACTAAAGCAAGGAGCGAGTCGCCCAGCCAGGATCTGCATGTCTATGTCTATGCAGTGCCACATGAGCAGCTGGTTAGGACCTGCTCAGTTGGCTGCCTGCATTTGCACCTCTCTTGTGGCTTCCCTGCAGCATTGCTGCAGAAAGGCCAGCACCCCACAGGGTGTTTTGCATCGTGAACTTGGCTGCTGAGTAATAATCTGTTAAGCTTAGAAAAAAAGGAATACAGGAGATGGCACAGTACAGGAATTGTTCATGGCACAGACTTTCATTCTGTAGTCTTTGAGTCATGGTTTAGTGATTTCTTCAAAACAGTCAGGTGTACTCAGGCTGAAAATCTTAAGGGGTGGTTCAGACCTAGGTGTGAAGAGAGAATCATCAAAGAAATGCTGATGTTGACTTACTGCGATTGTAGCAGCCTGTGCGGATCTCTGTGGATCTGCTTTCAGTAAGTGGAAAGATTCTCTACTGAAATGTGCAATGAGACGTGGAGATGGGAGGTCCTGCAGGGTGCTTGGGTTCTGCTGTGTGCTTCAACAAGAGTTTTATTTATTGTCTTGTTTCTGTAATGTACTGCGTCGTTTCTGACTCTTAAACAATAAGATCCTTCAAAACGAAACTTTCCTCAAAACTTTCTGTCTTAACTTAATTTTAAGTCTTAACTTAACTGTCAATCCAGGATTACAGAGGCCTTACAAAAAGCAGACCCGTTTTTTAAAATTGAAGGCTCTAAAGGAAGACCCTACCGAATTTCTACAGCCATGGAGGACATGGAAGCCTACACCAAGCTAACGGGTACGGTGCTCAGGAATCCTTTGTCCTCCAGTGAAGGAACAGGAGGACCTGTTGGAGTGGGGAGTGTTTTTGTGGTTCACGCAGCAGGGCGGGCGCAGGGCAGAGGCGGCTGGCGCGGGATACGCTGGGCTCCAAGCACAGGCTCAGCGCACACCTGTGCTGCCTGTGGGACACAGGAACGGCCGCCTGACAGCGGTGGTTCCTCGAGGAGAGCCAGAAATACCTCGGTGCCCCTGAAACCGCATCAAAGCGAGCTGTCTGGGGGTGGGGGGAACCACAGCGCCCGCGTCGCTGTCATGCGGGAGCGGAGCCGGCCGCTCTGATTGCAGCACCCGAAGCCAGGGCTGGTCTTGAGGTTCAGCAAAAGGTTTTGTTTGTTTGCAAAACGTCACCCTTGTCCCTGAATCTGCTCGTGCTGGGGATGTTCTGCCAAACAGACTGGCTAAATGGCAACACCAAGCAAACTCCGGAGAAATAATGTAACTTTTAAGCATGAGAACTGAGTTTTTCAGCCCAAAACTGTTATAAATCAGCCAAGAGCATTGTCTAAGTGGCATTTTAGTTGTCAGACTAGCGTGTTGGGTCATTTTCTGACAGTACAGTTTTCTGATAGTTTCTGAACCATGTGCTTTTCTTGTTTATTTAATCATTGGCCATTGCTGTGTGTTCTTGTCTGGTTGCTGTGATACTGGAGTTGGTCACATTTAACAAAAATCAACACCCCTTTGGCAGATCACATCTACTTGGAGATCCTGCACTCCAGCTGTCCAGAGCTGGCTGAGGCACGAGAAATTTTGCGTAAAATCGAGCGACGTGAATTATACAAGTTTTTAGGAGACACTCATCCAGAAAAGGAGAAGGAAATTGCAAAGGTAATCTCAATTACTGGAAGATCAGAATTCCTTTTCTTTAAAAACAGTCTCTAAGTAGCTTTTGGGGGGTTGGGTTTTTTTTTATTGTTTTCTTTCTTTTCCTTAATTGCCATTCCAAAAACAGTGTTAAAAGCTCTTTTGCAATCTTAACATAGCCAAACCACTGAATATGTTTAAAAAAAAAAATGGGAAGAGTCTTTTATACAGGCAAGCAGAAGAATGATGAGAGGTGGGCACTCACAAATAGTTTGTGGCAGAAATATTTTCAGAAACATCCTGTTCTCTTGAAGGGGGAAAAAAAAAGTACAATATTGTATAAAATGCTGTTACAGCACAGTGTTTGGGAAGACTGTTGCTTTTGTCATGTTTATTGTATGGCAGAACAAGGAAAATTTGATGATATTTTTGCTTTGAATCGGAATTTGTGCACTTTCGTGACTGAGAACAAACCTCAATCTGAGTATTAATTTCTCAGTTTATTGGTGATATGATCTATCCTTGACATAAGCTTGCATATTTTTCCAGTGTTTTCCTTTCAAAATATTCCTCAAAATTTGGTTTAACTGCTGATATGTCTATTGTGTTACTTCAAGATTCTGTACTAGAGCTGATATTGCTTTTAATGGTTCAGCTTTTCTAGTAATGTGCTACAAAAGTGCCTTTAGTAGTCATTTGACAACCTCAAAATTTCAGCGCTGAGGTGGCTTTTTTTTCCATGCTGAATTTCTTTTTTTTTCTTTTTTTTTTTTTTTTTCCCTTTTTTAGAACAAGGCTAGAGAAGGACTATTAAATATTTTTATTTTTCTCCTCATCTTGTTTGGAGGGAGGGCTGGCTTGGGTTCTTCATCTTGGCTGCAGGAATGTTAAGAGATGGCACAACTTCTTTTGTAATGGGGAGCAGGGGAGAGAAAGTATCGAGGAAGAAAGAATAAATGTTCAGGCAAATGCCAGCACAGCCGGCATGAAAAGGTTGGACATTGGATTGCAAAGCTTCTCTCCTTCTGGGGAGGAATTTAGGACAGATGCCCAAATGTGGGGAGTTTACAGTCCTGCTCTTTTCCAAGTTTCACCTTTAAACGGCTCCTTGCTGAGTTGCGAGGAAGCGAGTCCTTAGGCTGAGCACCGTGTGCGCTTGGCCACGCGCGTAACCCGAGTCGCTGTCTCCTTCCAGGAGGAATACAGTGGCCTGTCAGCAGAAATCGCCGATTCCAGACCTGAGAAGAATCCTCCGCTGGTGCAGCCAAAGGCTGAGGACTTCATAGTGGATGTGAGCATCTCCCAGGGCTAGCTGAGAGTAAAAGCCCTTCAGTCACAGAAGCCTTTCTATGCTGCAGGGAACGTCTCTAATGTTTCCAGTTCTAAGTGTGTGCTGTGTGTGTGTGGGTGGTTTCTTTTTTCCCTCATTTGTTGTTTGTTTGCTTTTAACGTTGCCTCCTCGCTTGGGCAGCCAGAGCAGCGTGTTCCAGTGCTGGAAGTGGAGGCGGCGCAGGGGGAGCCTCCCCTCTTCTCCTTGGTGCTGCTTTGCAGCCGAGGGCTGGGCGCAGGGCCTGGCCGTGAGGCTCTGCACAGGTCGAAGGCTTTGGACATCTTCCCAAGACATTGTCCTCGGACAGGCCCTGCTCCTGGGGATTGGGTGGGACATGTTCTCCTAAGACTGTCTTCTTGCTGAAAAGGAAAGGGAAAACCTTTGTTTTTTTAGTATAGAGATGTTCAAGGACACAATCGAGGACGCGTGCTCTGGGTATGTTTTTGAAGGCCAGGCAACTGTGGGCCTAAATTGTAACATATTGGACGGTTGCTTCCAAACTTGTGGTGTTCCATGCCTGAGCACAAACCTGTTTCCAGGTTTGTGTCTTGTACAGAAAGCATTTTGGTGCCACAGCTCAGTACCCCCCTGGCGCTGGGAAGGAGTCTATAACAGAGCACTGTGCGAGTAGCCTGTAGCTTAACCCCTTTTCTCCATCAATTCTGGGAAGAGCTAATGAACGGCTTTGTAGCAACTACCCATCACTTCTGAACTCCTTGTTTGGGTGAAACTACAGCAGCTCATGCGGGTAGCTGCCCTCGTCTCATGTAACCCCAGGTCATGGAGAGGTGGGTTCTTCTCCCTGCTGATTGTGAAAACGTGGGTATAAATTGTGTTGTCTTCCACCTCGTGTTCAAAAACTGAAGCTCTGCTGCTGCCTCAGTGTGTAGCAGGATTCAGGAAGGCTGAGCTGTCAGGGAGCAGCACGTTCCTGTGGTGGAAGTCGGAGTGTTTCAGAGTGCAGCCGAGTGCTAGTTGATGCAGATGTGCTGTCCCCTTGGCAGTTTCAGGGAGACCTATGGTGGAAAAAAAGACTTTAAAAGCAGTATCAGATTTCTTTCAACTAAATAAACATTTGCTAATTGCAGTTGTATTTGGTTACTGTCATCTACAGATGTATAATACCTATCTTTATATATTTATTGTACCAAAATTAAGGATGAACACTAACAGATAACCATTTTATTTCTTTATTGATACAAGATTATCAATATGGATTATGGAATGGAAGAACAGAACCCCATTGATAAAGTTCTCTTCTACTGCAAAGCTGATCCTACCAAGGCAGTGAGGATCAGTAAAGAACAGGTAGTCTTTATTTTCCTCAGCTGCCCTCTGAAGGGCACCTTTCTTTACAGTTTGGGATCACCTTTGTGTGTGGGAGCTCTTACGGTAGCGTTAGAACTATCCGGAGATGGATGGGTGGGCGTTACAGGTGAGCAGTGTTTACTTTCTACAGACTTGGGAGTCGTGCAGAAACAGAATTCGTTTGGGTAGAAAGCCCATGACTTCGAGTGGGATATTTCTTCATGCTTTCAATTTGTATTTAGATGAACAAATTGAAGTTCAGTGGACTCTAGATTTCAAGAAAGACTAAAACTTCTTTTTTTTCTCTCTCTCTTTTTTTTTTTGCAAAGGTCTCGAAGCTTTTACCTGAGACTTTTGCAGAGCAGGTTATTCGGGTTTATTGCAAAAATCAGGATCCAGATACTGTTTCAGCTGCAAAACAGTATTTTATTCAGTGGTGTATAAGGAGGGATTTCACTAAACCACAGGTAACCGTCACACTTAGCAACATTTCACCCTGATCTATAAACTTGCTATTTCATTGGATGTCTTGGGATTTGGCCTTGTCTTTGGCAGAGTTGCTTCTCAATAACTTCCCAGTATGCTTCCCATATGGTTGTTATGTTATATATGGTGGCCAGTATATATGGTTTGTATTGTGGCTCACATCTAGGCATGCTTTGATTTCACTGGAACTGATTTGATTACATTGATTGAAGTAAATGATTTGAAAAGTCTTGCTTTACAACTACGTTAGTGTCCACATAAACATTCACTAGTTCATTGGTGCAAGTTGCCTCATGCAGAGGTTTAAATCATCAGAGACTGAAACATCTGATAGGTCGGATGAGTTTGTCCCATTGCTTTGCCAGCCTCGGAGGGGTGTCCTGCTCTCTGTGGGAGCAAGGAGGAAAGTGGGGAGAAATTCCGTATGGGAACTGAAGTCTTTAACTTGCTTTAACAAATGCGCTGTGAGCACTTTGTGAGTCGTGCACGTGTGTCTGTTCCACTGCGTACGATCATATCCCGACCTTGGCATCTTGGTTTTCCAGAGATACCTGCAAGTCTCTCTGGGAGGAAGAGCTACATTTCCTGAAATGCAAATCCAGGGGGTAGCCCAGTGTTCCCCTCTGCTGCGCCTGTGGCTGCAGGCACGAACCACTTGTCTTGGGGCTCATTCCTACACGGACAGTGGCAGTGTCTGTCCCTTGGGCACAGGTGGCTTGGGAAGGGTGTGTTTTACGGACGGGTGGCAAGGGCCCTTCTCTGCCTGTAGCTCCCACGTGTCGTCACGGGTGGAAGGGTTTCCCTACCACACATTGCCATTGCCTGCAGCCCTTCCCATTTCTGGGAAGCGGCGTCCCCAAGCAGCATTGATGTACTCTGCTACTAGGAGCCTGGATTTATTTCTTCTGTCAAGTCTGACACTAGGTTTCTTGGGTTAGAAAGCAAAAGAGAATGTACCATTGTTAATTTTTTCTGACTTTTAATAATAGGATTGTGATGTGGTTGCCCCTCATCTAACTCCAATGAAGAAAAGCTGGAATAATATTCAAGAGGATGAATGCAGAACTGCTGCAGAACCCAGCTGCAAGCAAAGGCTGTCTTTTGATAAGTAACTCTCTTCCTTTTGCACTATTCAGTCTCCGTCAGAAGATGGGTAGTCCTGAGTAGCAACTTCAGAGCTACTGTGATGGACTGTTAAAAATCCCCAAGGCGATGCAGTAATGCATTTGGCAAGACAGCATATGCCCAGTTTGTTTTAATGACGACACTTAAACTAAGTGCGTATGGACTTTTCAGAAAGTAGCAAACAGTCTGTTGTTGCAGAAAACAAACTCAGTTATCTTTTTTTGGAATGTATCAACACTTTGTAGCAAGAGAAACTTAAACAGATTGAAAATCACCGTAATTAAAAGAAGTACTGAAGAGGCATTTCCACTTCTGACAGCGATCCCTTCCTGAGGTGGCGGTGGTGTGGATGCACAGGAGAGGCTCCCGCTCTGCAGTGCCTGGAGAAGGGGGTCTGGGTGTTTGTGGGAACACAGGGAGGTGTCAGCACTTGGAAAGAGCCATAGGTGCCTCTTCATGAACAATAAACCCAACTTCCTTTAATAATAAAAAGTTAGGGGTGAGGGGAAGACGTTTAAATAACCAAAGATTTCTTTTCTGATATTAAAAAGAGTGAAGAAGATGCAGCCCTCTTGCTATAAAAGCAACTACATTTTTATGGAAGAAGCAATGCATTTCAGCAACAGCATTTTGTTGTTTTTATAGTGTGTTTTTGATACATTGAATGTTTTATTTTTACTGCTACGCTGAACTACAAAAACTCAGGTTCTTGCAGCCTTTCCCCGTTTCATACTTTGTGGGTGCTGTTCCTGCGTCTTCTGTTTCCCCCTCTTCCTTGTAGAATTAGGAGGGTTCTTAGTTTCCACCCAGTGTTACCAGTGTGAATGTTGCTAAATGACGGCTCAGTTGCAAAAGTAAAGGAGGAAGACCCTGTTTCTCTTGCTCAGGTTTCAAATGTTCTTTTTAAAAAAAGCTCACTAAAATGAAAACTAAAAATGCCAAACAGTGTGTTCTGCAGTGCTGAGAAATTGGAGTTTTAGACTAAGTTTTTAAACTGCGTTAAAAAAAAAAAAAAAAGTTCAGCATTTGATTTTTTTTTCCATATCTTTTTACATTTCCTTGCCGTTTTTTTCTGCCAGTTCACGTCCAGCAGAGGTAGAGAATGAGTTCTGAACTACTTGTTCAGATTTAATTGGATTAAAATAATAAAAAACCCCACTCCCCCTTGTTTTGCGTTCTGCTGCTTTCTCCTGAGCTTGTGTCCCTGTCCCCAGAGCGCTGTGCAGCCGCTGCTGCTCCTGTTGGGTGGTGTTTTGCACCTCCCGGGTCCTGTGTCACTCCTGCTGCGAGGTGTGTGAGCTCTTTACAGCTTAGATGAAACAACCTGTGCTTCAGCAAATACCATCAGTGAGGGAAGGAAGGAGTTAACCTCCTGTGGCTACAGCAAATCAAGTACTTACTCGTTCAGAATAACGCAGTTTTCCTGTGGTTTGTTTCCTATTGTTCTGAAGCTGTTCTAAAAGGTGCACTTTATGTTTGGGAAAAGCTTTCTGCTCACGTTAACCATGTGTTTTGGAAACCTGTACATAAATATATCAGATGTTAACTTCTGAGACATGACATTTCTTTTTCTCAAACATGCTAATCTGAGCCTACCTGGACTAAAAATAAATTTCCAAGCAATGATTTTCATATTCTCGTAATGAAGGCAGTGTGGGAGGTGCGTGAGGAGGCTGTGTCCTGCCGCTAGCTGGAGCCGTGCGGCAGCGCCGCGGCCAGGCCCTTCGCAGCGGGGAAAGGAGCAGCACCCCGAGCTCTGGCCAGAGGCTTTGGCATGTTCTGCATGGAGGAGGTGTAAAGTTTAACAGCAGCCTCTACGTGTGCAGGGGGAGTTGAAGCTACACACAGCGTTTGGCTTGGAGGGCCGCAGCAGCATCCTCACCTCGCGGCACAGGAGCGTGACACGCACGATGGGAGCTCCGGAGGGCCCTCCCTGTCACCGCTTGCACGGCTGCGTGTCCCCAGGAGCCACTAGGGAGCAGATGGCTGGAGAGCTGCTCCAGCCCGGTCCTCCTTAAGGAGGAGGTGCCCCGCGCTCCCCTCAGGCCACTCTGCCTCACACGGGGCCCTTCGGGCCAGCAGAGCCCATCCTATCACCGTGGTGTGAGCTTGGTGGCTCCGCGTGTGGCCCGCCCTCGCCTGTGCCTCCTGTTTAGCTCTGTGGGAGCAGGGAGCGTGGAGGCTGCCGCGATGCTCGAGTCCTCACCCCAGTGCCCCCAGCTCCGGGGTCCCGGGATGAGGCCTGGAGTGTTGTGCCTGGGGCGGCTCTGAACGAGGACATCCACTGGCCTTCGAGGATGACCGTGCTCCGCTCGAGGTGACCCCAGCATTGGCACTCAGAGCTGCTAAACGCCCATGCCGTTTGGGGCACCCCATTGGAGCCTGCTCTCAGCACGGGCCCTCCGAAGCTGGCTTTGGAGGCAGTTTTGGTTTAGTGCGTTCAGAACTTCATACAGTGACGTTTGGGGTGATTTCTCCCCGTGGCACAAGAATCATCCGATCGGCCACCGTGTTTTGTGCCAGCAGGCATGGCCGTCGCTTGCTGCTTCCAGACAGCCGCTGCGTGCATGGAGTGATTGCTGGCCCTGGAGACTCTGCTGGGTTTAAACACTCCTGGCCCCGCCAACCCCTCCTGCGGCAGCTCCGCAGTGGTCCCAGGGCTGGATCTGTCGCGCTCACACACTTAGGTGGGCGCTGAGAGCCCTGCCCTGCTCTGTGCACTCGCACTGTGGGCAGGGTGACACTGGAGTTCCACCTGCAAAACTGTCCTGGGGATCCCCCTGGGGATCCCCCTGGCTGCGCAGGGGTGGGCGGAGCGGGGGCACAACAGGAGCAGCTCGTGGGGCTGCAGCAGCCGGGGAAAGGGCGAGAGGCCCAGGTCTGCAGGGAGAGGCCGGCAGGAGGGCTGAGGGGTGCCCATGGTTCTGGGCATCCCCGCAGGAGCCTCAGTGCTGGAGCAGGGGCCAGTTTTGTCCCTGGCCCTGGGAGCAGGAGCGGAGCAGCCCCTGCTTGGCAGAGGGGCCTGCAGGACCCAGTGGCCAGAGGGCTCTGCAGCTGGAAAGAGTCTGTGCCCGTGCCGTGAGGGACATGTGGGGGATCCCGGCAGGGAGGCAGAGGCAAGTGCTCCTCCTCAGCTCCTGGTGCAAGGGGGTTTGTGGCACCAGGAGCGGTGCGGAGATGTTAGCCCTTGTTCTCGTGCTTCCTCAGGCGAAGGGAGCAGCGTTTCGGCGCATGCCCCGGCTGGGAGCAGGGTAGTAGCTCCATGCCTGCTGGGGTGGCTTTCTTGGCGCGGCGGCTACGGGTTGAGCGGCACCTGCACGGCAGTGAGGAGCCTGGAGCGTAGCCTGCCCAGCACCCGTTTATTGAGGGCTTTGTTGCCTTCGCGTCCACCAGCCCTCGCGCCCTCCCCAAGTGGCGCTGTCGGCGCGATGGTGTTCCC